TTCCACCAATCATTTGACACCTGGTTTTTTTTTTTTTTTTTTTGCATCTGCGTTACGATAGTTTTTAAGCGTATGCCTTTTCCGTTAGTGTGGTGTGTGGCCTTCACTTGTGTGGATCTGTGACTGGCATCTCCTGGGCAGGGATGCCATCAGATGTCTGATGTGGGCCTGTGGGATGTCTGCCCACTCTTCTTGAAGTGCCTGGGAAAGATCACGACCATTGGCTGGAGCAACATTTCGGCGTCAAACACGTCTTTGCAGCTCATCATACAGGTGCTCAATCAGACTCATCTGCAGACCGGGATGGCCAGGGAAGGGTTTGAATGTTATTGGCAGCCAGGAACCGAGTGGTCAACTATGCAGTATGGGGTCTGGTGTTGTCCTGTTGAAAACGATATCTGTTGGCATCCCAAAATGGAAGGACATGTGGTCGAAGAATTTCATGGACGTATCGTTGCACATTCAAGCTTCATTCAATGTGCACCAGTTATTATTATTATTATCGATCACCGGCTGTGAATTCCAGTGGAAGGTCCAGGTTAATCGTCTGCTTGGACTTTTGGCTTTCACCTGGACCTGATTTTTGCGTGTACAACCGTTTTTCATTTCCCTGCCTCATGGGCAGCTGTACTCCGACTTCGAAGGAAGACGTCAGGCCTATTTCTAGGGTGACTGTGGCCATTGTTTTGTGTGGGTCGAGACGTTGCCTGACTTGTGTGGTGTCCACTTTGTCTCCTTCGCCGCAGGTATTACCCCCGAAGTACCCCTTTGGGGCAACCCCCTGTGGAACAGTTAGCCCTCAAGGGAAGGCAGGGGCAGATCATGGGCATTCCCCGCCATCCAAGGAGGCTTCCATGCATGCAGAGCCGGTACATGGCGCTCTGGTTCTGGGCTCACCCAAGGAATCGTCACGTCCTGCACATGCCTGCTTGACCTCACAACCGTATCATACCTCCCGCTCGACAGGGGCTTTGACGAGCCGTTAGCCCGACAGAATTTTACATCCTGCATCAGGCATATCGTTATCAGTTTTGTCCCAACACTCGGGCGAGTGGGGTCTTTGGGTGTGGACATTCGATCTTTTTCAGTTCAATACAAATTTTGATGGTCAGATTTTGATCCGTATGATCTAGTTTTGTCGGACATTTAGGCTTAGCCATCCGATGGATGGTTGCTGTTGTGGTGTACCTCAGCGCGGTGACGACGACACTGAGGGTTAACCGAGGATGTACATGAATGGCCAGCCTATGGATGGTTGCTGTTGTGGTGCACCTCAGCGCGGTGACGACGACACTGAGGGTTAACCGAGAATGTACAAGGATGGCCAGCCTATGGATGGTTGCTGTTGTGGTGTACCTCAGCGCGGTGACGACGACACTGAGGGTTAACAGAGGATGTGCAGTGAACAATGTTCTCTTTACTCCGCAGTCTTTTAACCAAGTGTTGTAATTTTGGCTGTACGTTTGGCAAACCTACTCATGTTCCTAATGAGTTTTGATAACATTTTTCACCCAAGCGTTTGGGGGCGGGCTGATGAGAGCCACAAGGACACATCACCTCTGGGGGCCGCCGAACTCCGAGATCCCCCGACAGGACGTGCTGTAGGGGTCTTGCGTGAGGTTCCGTACAACCAGGATAGTAAAGGACTGGCGCCCGAGTGACGTACGGAGTATCTCCTTATACACATCATGTTGGACTTAACTTCCCCTCACGCCTGTGACATAAATCACCGCGCCACTGTGCACCAATTGACTCCTTCCGTTGTAACTGATCATTTCCCATACCATTACACCTCCACCACCGTGCAGAAGAGCCTCATCGACACATTTTTGGGCTAAACCTTTGTCTCTGGTAGACCCTACGCCGTATATCATGACGCTGCAACAAAAATAAAGATTCGTCTCTAAACCAGACACGTCTTCTCTGATTGCCACTTGTCCAGGGGCGATGTTGGTTGGCCCAAAGAAGTCGATGTTGGCGGTGGCGATGCGCAAGGACAGGTCCTCAGTGTGGTCGTCGAGCCTAAAGTCAAACATCATGCAGTCTGTTCCGAACAGTTTGATCAGACACATGACGTCCTGGAGGCAATGCCTGTGCAGTTGAGGAAGCTGATGTAAACCTGTCTCCGAGGCGACGAAGCCAAATAAAGCGATTATCCGCTGCTATTGTCACTCTAGGTCGTCCACTGCGATGTCGGTCTTCAACTGAACCAGTGGCTTGGAACCGGTGCCAAAGTCGACTGATGGTACTCTGGTGCACGTTTAGATGCCTGGCAACCTGACTTTGACTTTCTCCTGCCTACAATCGGCCAATAGCAACATTCCTTAAATGTATCCATAGAGGCGCCATTCGTGACTGCTTGAAAATGAACTGATCGTTTTTGTGTAGCGTTATCCTTTTATAGGGTTTCAATTGCGTAGGCAGTGAATAGTGTTCACCGCAAATTGTGTTGCTTTCTCGTGCGCACATCGTGAGCTATGCTCACAAACATGGTCTTAAACACATTTGACCACTACGTTGTAGTGATTACAAAAACCCACGCAATTCGCGCCCACATGTCGACTGGACACTGTAAACAACATTTGAGTCTGCTTTTCAGATACCCGTGTGCGGTATTTTATTTAGTAACTAATAAAAACGCGCGATCGGATAACTATACTTAAACATTGTCACACCAGTGGTTGAACTGAATGACAGCTTTCTGTGTGGGTTCCATGACCCCATCTTGGGGAAAACAAAAACAGATCCACTGTCCCCTCTAACAAGCATGTGGTAAAAGCTGACTAACAGGGCTGTTTTCTTCTGTCAGAGGTGATCTGTCTCAGAGGTGGGGAACCAACAGTGTAATGTAAGATATTTTCACCCTGATTGAGAAGGTTGGGGGAAATGCCCCAGGTTCACCATAAAACTGAGAGAAGCCAGAAACTCGGATAAAACAAGATTCTGGGGGGGGGGAGGGGGGGGGGGAACGACCACGTGGAACCCAAGGAGAATGTCACCACGTTGAACCAACACTGGTTATAAGGTGAGACCACGTTCTGATCAGACAGTATGTGTTGGAACGAGAGGGCGTGTGTGTGATCCAGTGTGAATGAGGACGTGAAACTGATTGCTTCAAGACGACGACTAGTCTACAACATTTATCAAAGTAAAGTCCACCCAACTCAGTTGAGGGAAACCAAGAATGCAGTGACCAGAGTCATCCATGAGGAGATGTTGAAGCGAAGACGGAGAACTTCAGAGTGTGAATGCGACAGGATTCAATGTATTGGTGTCTGAACAATGTGTTGCTTGAATGCTGTGCTTGTTGAGTAGGACACGGACTGGACATACGTAAGTGCTTAAATGTTAATAAACAGTTATGGAGATGTGTGTCTACTCATAACATCTATGTCATCGTAGAGTGTCAGTCATAACATCTATTTCATCGTAGAGTGTCAGTCATAACATCTATGTCATCGTAGAGTGTCATCGTAACAGTTCATCGTAGAGTGTCAGTCATAACATCTATTTCATCGTAGAGTGTCAGTCATAACATCTATGTCATCGTATGTCAGTCATAACATCTATGTCATCGTAGAGTGTCAGTCATAACATCTATTTTCATCGTACACCCAGTCATAACATCTATGTCATCGTAGAGTGTCAGTCATAACATCTATTTCATCGTAGAGTGTCAGTCATAACATCTATGTCATCGTAGAGTGTCAGTCATAACATCTATTTCATCGTAGAGTGTCAGTCATAACATCTATTTCATCGTAGAGTGTCAGTCATAACATCTATGTCATCGTAGAGTGTCATGATAACAACTATGTCATCGTAGAGTGTCAGTCATAACATCTATTTCATCGTAGGTGTCAGTCAAAAATCTATGTCAAGAGTGTCAGTCATAACATCTATGTCATCGTAGAGTGTCAGTCATAACATCTATTTTATCGTAGAGTGTCAGTCATAACATCTATGTCATCGTAGAGTGTGTCAGTCATAACATCTATTTTATCGTAGAGTGTGAGTCATAACATCTATGTCATCGTAGAGTGTGTCAGTCATAACATCTATTTTATCGTAGAGTGTCAGTCATAACATCTATTTCATCGTATAGTGTCAGTCATAACATCTATTTCATCGTATAGTGTCAGTCATAACATTTATTTCATCGTATAGTGTCAGTCATAACATCTATTTCATCGTATAGTGTCAGTCATAACATCTATTCACAATCGTAAGTGCAGGGCATAACATCTATTTCATCGTTAGAGTTAGTCAAAATCATCTATTTTATCGTTGTGTTTCAGTCAAAGACTTTCAAGAGTGTCAGTCATGCATTATTTCATTTAGAGGCCGTCATGCAGAAACATTTTATCGTAGAGTGTCAGCATAACATCTTTGGCGTAGAGTGTGTCAGTTTTAACATCTATTTCACATAGGTCAGTCATAACATCTATTTCATCGTAGAGTGTCAGTCCATCTGCATCGTAGAGTGTCAGTCATAACATCTATTTCATCGTAGAGTGTCAGTCATAACATCTATTTTATCGTAGAGTGTCAGTCATAACATCTATTTCATCGTAGAGTGTGTCAGTCATAACATCTATTTCATCGTAGAGTGTCAGTCATAACATCTATTTCATCGTAGAGTGTCAGTCATAACATCTATTTTATCGTAGAGTGTCAGTCATAAAATCTATTTCATCGTAGAGTGTCAGTCATAACATCTATTTCATCGTAGAGTGTCAGTCATAACATCCATTAGACTACACCCCACCTAGACAACAGCCAAGGACAGAGCAGACAGGCAAACAGTTGCTACAAATCAGATAATCCAGGACTATGTCTTGGATGAATAACCAGAATTTTCAAACAATTTACGCAGCCGGTTGAGTCAAAAACGAAAAAAATAACAGCAACTAACTTAAAAATATATAAACAAAGAGATTAGTGCATTGATGTTTGTTTATTTTATTCATATTTTGTACAAGGATAGCTTTTGATATATTCTATCTAGTAAATTGTAATCCTGGTGAATACAGGGCTTGAATAACACCTTCAACGACAATATCTGGCAGAGAAGCTGGGCAGAAGAATAAAAACAATTGGCAATTATCAAAATCATGTCCTTGTGTTTCTCAAAGACTTAAAAGTTAGCTGCATATCCTTTACAGGTCGATGCAGAACAATCCCCAGCACTTTTTTCTATATTTGTTCCACTGGTTTATTTGTGAGCAGTTGGTTGTTCTTTGCCGCATGGGCAGATGCACGTCAGGGAAAAGAGATAGAAAAAAGAGAGAAATCCCCAGAATTTCAGATTCCTCGTTTTATTAAAAGGGGACTCTTCTAAACAATAACATCTCCTTTTGCTCTCTTCTCAGCACCATCCTAATAGGCACTTGTCTGTTCTTAGCAAGGTAAAATAAGGTATAATCTTCATTTATTTCATCTAATTGCTTTTGTCTGCATGTATTTTATAAATAAGCAGTGTTAAGATAATTTCATATAACTCCAGCTCTGTGTTACAGGGCAGACAAAGAGATTAGGGGTTCATAGCACAAGCGAAAGGACGTCACTAAGTGCAACAAAGCCTGGCATATGAAATCACAATGACTAGTTAGAGAATGGAGGTGGAGGCAGTCACTGCTGCTGGTGATGTGATTATCTATAAAGATGGCTCTGTATTGAGGGGCAGATGAAGTGCATAGGGGTTTATAGCAAAGTCAAATGGACGCCGCTTAGTTCAACAAAGTCTCACCTATGATATCACAATGTCTAGTTTGAGAATGGAGGTGGAGGCAGTGAATGCTGCCTTCCAATGGCTAGAGAATCAGCTGTACACACATGCCGTGACTGTAACTGACATGCTGAGAAAGGTTAAGACAGGCATGCGCTGTGTAGAGTGGCAAGCATCACTTTAGAGGTCCCAGGTAGTTAGCGTCCTGTGGATTTTTTCTACAGGTCATTCTGGTGTGTTGGGAAATGAGCAAACAGATAGACTGACCAGTTCTGTACCACTTGGTGGTGAAATGATGTATGGCAAGCTAGATATTGTGAGGCCCTCTGGCAGTGAGTGAAGAGTGTGTAAGCACAAAAACATCATTACGGTCTGAGGAGAATGGCGCTATGAGGAGTAATCAGGGTATCTGGCCGACACTCAACACTCAGGGAAAAAGCAAGACGGATATACAATCAGACAGCTACTGGTGTCATCGGAACTGGAACACTGCGTTTGCTGCTGAAGATGGGGACGGAGCCATTATGGGAGTGTCCCGAGTGCTATGATGTTGATTCTTAATTCAACATTCAATATACAACTAAAAAAAAAAAAAAGTTGGCTCTTCTTTCAATACCGGACGCGGGCTGGACGGCTTAGTTCGGTGTAGTGGGAGTTCTCTACCTTGGCCGCACTGCAAACAGTGAGCGGAAAAGTCACGAAACAAATGACATACTTACCTATCATCATACGGTTGCGTAGTCATCAAACGGTTGCATAGTCATCATACGGTTGCGTGAAGGGTTGCGTAGTCATCATACGGTTGCGTGAAGGGTTGCGTAGTCATCATACGGTTGCGTGAAGGGTTGCGTAGTCATCATACTGTTGCGTGTAGGGTTGCCTATCATCATACGGTTGCGTGTAGGGTTGCGAAGAGTTTGGGTTAGAGTTAGGGTTAGGGTTAGGGTTAGATGTGAAAATTTTGACGTAGGAGTTCCAAATACTGGCCGACAATCTGATGCTTGTGGGAGTGGCGCCACTGAAATTCTGCCAAATATAACGGCAATAGCGCGCGGCTGGTGCCCAATCGTTGGCGAATTGTCCGTTTGACTAGCATCCACAGGCCTTTGATTGTTTGTGTGTGTTTGTGACTGTGCGCGACGTCGACGAAGTTGGTCTGATGGACTACTACCTCGTGCAGATAGATGCCATGCCTTAAGTTTGCGACGTTGCTGTAGCCTCGCCAAGCGTCAATTTTCCCATCTAACCCTACCCCTAACCCTAACCCAAACCCTACACGCAACCGTATGATGATAGACACTCTACGCAACCCTACACGCAATCGTATGATGATAGGTAACCCTACATGCAACCGTACGATGACTACGCAACCCTTCACGCAACCGTATGATGACTACGCAACCCTACACGCAACCGTACCCAACCCTACCTGCAACCTTATGATGATAGCTAAGTATGTCATTTGATTCGTGGACTTTTCCGCTCACTGTTTGCAGTGCGGCCAAGGGAGAGAACTCCCACTAAACTGAACTAAGCCGTCCAGCCCGCGTCCGGTATTGAAAGAAGAGCCAAAAAGTTTTTTCACGGGAACGGAATCATTCTGCCATTATTTATGATGGCCACTGTCTTCTTGGTCTGCCTCATGGTCAAAGACCGTTCAGCTCCCTTGTGTATACAGTTTCTACCTCTCTGTCATTTGATATTCTCTCAATATGCCCAAGCCATTTCAGTCTATAAGATCTCATTGCGCCAGTTATCAATGGTGATTTAAACAGATTATGAATTTCGTTGTTGCTTCCCACTCTCCATTGCTCATTTTTTGCATTTTTGATGGGTACAAAGATTCAACATAATACTCTGTTTTCACAAATCTCTTATGAGGCTTCATCTCTTTTATACCTCCCTTCCCCTTTTTGTTTTGGCGTACGTCCTGTTACATATAAGTCCAAGCATCTGGAGCTGATTAAGGACAAACATTGAGGTACCACTGTATATCCTTTCAGTCTATATATATATATATATATATATGTATATGTGCGTGCGTGTGTGTGTATATGTATGTATATATATGATAAAAAATGTATGTATGTAAAATGTGCCTGTGTGCGTGTGTGCATACCCCTCTGTAAAAAAAAGCAAAAAAGTGGCATACCCCTCTGTCTGTCCTGCAAGAACACCTTGGCATCCAGTATAATGACTGGTTGATGAGAGGAATTCTGTAGTTCTTCATCCTGGAAGCTGTCAATGTTACAACAGTGATAGTCTCAGCACAAGTTTTTTGATTCTTCTTCTTCTTCTGTGTTAACCCTTAAAAATGCAGTTGGCACAATGTGGTGTGGTTTACCGCTAGGCTGCGATATCTGCATCTATTGGCCCAACACTTCTGATTTCAGCAAAACCTTAATTACTTGCCCTTTATCATATGCTTGTGGGGAATAAAAAGGTGGTTGGGGGGGGGGGGGGGGGGGATGTGAATACCAACAATTTTTTAGCTTAAATTACTTTTTTTGGGGTAAATTTGTAGTCATATTTTTCAATATGTAAATTTGAATGGTGAAACATATTTCTGCAGAAGTTTGATTACTGATATCTTAGTGGAAGTCTCAAAAGCAATATGAAATTAGTACCAGTCTAAACTATGCAAATCGGTTACTATAACCTTATAAAAGCAGTGAGACAGGGATATCATATTTAGAGACCCTTGGGCAAGCTGGGATGCATATTTAGCCCCCAGTAGGATAATACAACACCATGGAAGCACAGGTGCAGAGATAGAGTCAGGTTGAGAGCAGCTGATAGACAACTGTTGGCAGGGAAAAAAGATGCTGATACTCAACACAAAGTGTCTGAAAAAGGTGTCAGTACTTATCACATGAAAGGATGACGAAACTAACATCTGATGCAGTAAAGCTGGCCAAGTATTGGGACAGCTAGCCCCCATCTTACAGCATAAGGCAATCCTAATCGGCACAAAGAGACATCTCATTCAAAGCATACTCATTTCCACCCTAGGCTATAGCTAGCCCCTCACAACAAAACATAAAAGAAAATTAGTGACCACGGAAATGATGTGTCTGAGAAAGACTGTAGGAGTGACTAGAAGAGATAAAAGCAGGAATGAGGTCATTCAAGATAAAATCAGCACAGAACCAAATCTAAATAACATACAAAGACAGCAAATTAAATGGCTTGCCCACTTGGAGAGAATGCCTTCTAATGCTATTCAATTTAAGGCATATATCAAAATAGGAGAGGGACGTAGAGCAAGAGGGAGACCAAGAACAATATGGGAAGATAACATCTGAGAAACTACAGCACCACAATGTGCCCAGTCGATGCAGCCAGAAAAGCATGAAGCAGGACCTTATATCTTCCTCGACACCCAAAGCGGTAAAAGAGGACATAAAGAAGAGAGAAGAAAAAGACTTACCACAAATGTCTATTACAGCAGCCCTGAAAAGAATGAATCATAAAACTGCTGGCACTGCGTACAACCAGAAATAAATCCTGACAGTCAGTTACCAGATGGTAGACAGAGAAGAATATGATACTACAGTGGTAACAGGTATGTCTACCCAGACATGATAACAAAAAAAAAAAAAAAAAAAGGGTAAGCAACCGTGAACTACTAAGTTAAGATTTTTCAACATGCTGAGATTTCTTTTGTGTGATCTCTAGGAAAAATGATACAGAATTTGTTTTAGAATATCATGTATCAAGAAGAAGACAAATATCCACATCCTGCATGGTCTGAGCATCAAGGAAAACTGGCTTATAAACATCATCCTGTCATAAAAGCTGAGCTATTTTGGTCAGGTTAAATGTCCCGGTGGTCTGGAGAGAGTAATGATGGAGGGTATAGTTTAAGGACAATGACAAAGAGACCAACTTCCATGAATGTGGATACAAGATATTGAAGGTGCACTGGCTATGAAAGCATACAGAGCTGGAGAACTGCCTAGAGAAAGACTTTCAGGCTTTCAGAAGAACCTGTTGATTGAAGATGAGTGATAATGGGGGGTATGGTTACCCAACCATTATGATCACTGCCAAAAAGGAAAGCAACTGTGAACTACTTACTTCAGATCTGCCAAGATGCTGAGATTTTATTTGTATGATCTCTAGAAGGAGAATGGAGAACTCATGGATACATCTGTGCAATGAAAGTGTTCTTTGACCAAAAACTAAACTTACTCCATGTTGTGGTCCAACACGTCTGTTTCTAAGAACAACAGCAAAGAATGTGGTGGTGGGTCTTGGTCTACAATACCCTGAAGAAATATTTATCACTGTTGAAACATTATAGTTATTATGATAATCATTATAATATAACTCTATGACACCATCATCACCTTGATATCATTATCATATCATCATCATTCACCATCTTGTTGTGCCATTCATTTCTATCTTATGCTATAGTTTCAAAATCATGAACCGACTTCAGTCCACCACCTTTGGCCTCTTTTATCAGCGTTCATCTAAGGATTCCTTTTGAAAGTCCTCATTTTTTTCGGTTCAATATATTTCCCACTGAACCACCCGCCCTTGTGGTGATTCTCTGTTCACTTCTCCTCGGGATACATCACCGTCTTCTTTGTCTGATAATTTCTGATACCAGCAGTTCTCCAGAAATGTCTCTTGTCTTCGCCTTTCTTGAGTTCATCCCAACTAACACTCACCAATTTACGCAGGCACCTGCTTTTAAATGCATGTAACTTTTGTTCCATGTCTTCAGCGGTTCTCCAACTGTCACTGGCATATGTTGAAAATAAAATTAGACTTAAAAATATGTCACTTAGTTTTAAAACGGTACATTCTAGTGTTCCATGTTTTGTTCAGGTTTTAAAAAGCTGCTAATGAGTATCATAACTTCTTTCTCTGTGCACTTTGGCATTAAAATTGCTACGAAATAGGGGAATTGATCTGTTTCATCAATCCTTTTTAACTCCAGTGCGAATTCCCTTTGATTTGTTATGGATGTCCTTAATATATGTGTCTATATAATATTATATATATGGTAAATTAAGCACACTTGATGGAAGGTCACAATAATGTTAGAAAAAAAAAAAAAAAAATAAGAAGAGAGGAATATGATACTCCAATTTTTCTTTGTTGACCTGACTTTAAAAGATAAAATCATACATATAATTTAGGTGGTCGTGGATTCGTTAAAAAAACGACCTTGGCTCCCAGGTCGACCCAGCCTTGAGTGGGTACCAGTGCAGTCCCAGGAAGCAAAGGCAGCCGGCATGATGCTGACCACATCACCCATCTTGTGCCAATTGGTCTATAAAAATATAAGTCTAGCCCCATAGGCCCTATATGCCTAAAGAAGTGAAAAAGGGTTAAAAAAAATATATTTTATTCAGGTATTAATATATACAGTTTGAAGAACAGATAGAGATTTTGAAATAAGAACTACAAACAGGAAGAAGAGGATTATTCATAGCCCTAGAAAATGTGTGCACTCTAAATTTAGAAGCAACCTTAAAATATTTAACAATAATGTCAATTCAGAGCTGCTATAGGATAAAAAAGACTGGAAATTACTATGCTAAATTAAGAATAAAAAATTTATCCATCGGGACACTTCCATAAGCGCTCCCTCCCCATCTTTAGCAGCAAGCGAAGAGTCCCAATTTCAGTATGGGAATGACTAACAAACAACTAAAAAACGACAAACATTTACCAACTGGTGCCTACACAAAATAGAACTAAAATGGTATGACAATATCACCAATTCAGATCTCATGGTGTGGACAAAACCAAATCAGGTAATCAAAGGTGATAAGAAAGAGACTGATGCTGGACAGAGGACAACACTGTGGAAACAGATTAACAATGCATCTATAAACTTCTTCTTTTGGAATCCATCTTCTCTACATCTTGTAATACAAAATAAAGAAAAAAACTACCTGGAAATAAGCATGCAGACCTAACCTCCTCTGCTCCAATATTTTTGTGTTCCATTTCAGGACTTTCTTAGGTGGAAATTCTGGTGTTTTCATGACTTTTTTCAGCTGTTTTTTTTTTCCAGACAGAAATACAATTTTTTATCATTAGCTGTCTTTTTATTTCTGCATTATGTACATATAGGCATAAAAGAGAAAGATGACAAATGTGAGGTGATATGTCTGAGAAGAGCTAGTACAAAGAGCTAAAATAAGAAATAATGACACACATGAGCAATATCCACCAATTCAAAAAAGAATAACGAACAACAGATTCAATGGTTTGGTCATCTAAAAATGTCAACTTACACATCTATCTAAAACTGTCAACTTACACATCTATCTAAAACTGTCAACTTACACATCTATCTAAAAATGTCAACTTACACATCTATCTAAAAATGTCAACTTACACATCTATCTAAAAATGTCAACTTACACATCTATCTAAAAATGTCAACTTACACATCTATCTAAAACTGTCAACTTACACATCTATCTAAAAATGTCAACTTACACATCTATCTAAAACTGTCAACTTACACATCTATCTAAAAATGTCAACTTACACATCTATCTAAAAATGTCAACTTACACATCTATCTAAAAATGTCAACTTACACATCTATCTAAAAGTGTCAACTCACACACCCATGAGAAAGAGTACACACAGAAGAACCTAACATCTACCCCCAACTCTCTGCTGATGTAACTGAGGAACAATCAACAGCAAACCTGGCATGCTCACAGTTGCTGTCTCCTGCAGCCAATGTTGTAACTAACTACTCCAGTACCATACTTGTAAAAATAATTAAAATATTCCCTGGACATCTATTTTTTTACTGGACCTGCACTGAACTCACTGATAGAATTATTTACACGTACCTGCTTGTGCAGCTCCTCAAACTCGGAGTATCTCTTCTCAATTGTGTAATGTCGACCTGAGATCCATACGTCGACCAGGAACACCTTAAAAACATTCAGAATAATTGATTTTTATCATCCTCATCTTATTTACATGACACAGGGGTGGCAGTTATTTCTTCCATGTTGTTCTAGCCGGTGTAATTGTCTTGCAATTGTTTCAATATCCAGCACCTTTGGCCTTCCTCAGTTTCTGCTATGGTGCAGACGTTCCAAAAACCAACCTTACAACTAAATTTTGAGCCAAGTAGTGTGCATGTCTGAAAACTGACTTATGTAAAGCAGCCTACTTGGCTTGTCAGTTTGCAGAAATGGCTTCCACTTCTACCAATTTCTGTTGCATACTTATGTTTTATTGTAATTTTTAACAGGGGTGGAACTTCTAGAAATTCATCAGCGAATGAAAGTACAGTAGGCTGATGCATGCCTGTCAGACCAGCAACTGTAAGAATGGAGTAGGTAGTTTCAAAATTGCATTTCACCCCTTTACTGATTAAAAAAACCACAACTTGACATCAGAACGCTGCTCCTCTTTGATGCATTTCACTGTGTTCATTTGCATTGGGATGTCATGTGCTTAACACTTTTCCATCCTTAACAACAATACTGACAGGTTACAAGACAACTTCACATCCTTAACAACAATAGTGACAGGTGACAAGACAACTTCACATCCTTAACAACAATAGTGACAGGTGACAAGACAACTTCACATCCTTAACAACAATAGTGACAAGACAACTTCACATCCTTAACAACAATACTGACAGGTGACAAGACAACTTCACATCCTTAACAACAATACTGACAGGTGACAAGACAACTTCACATCCTTAACAACAATACTGACAGGTGACAAGCCAACTTCACATCCTTAACAACAATACTGACAGGTGACAAGACAACTTCACATCCTTAACAACAATATTGACAGGTGACAAGACAACTTCACATCCTTAACAACAATATTGACAGGTGACAAGACAACTTCACATCCTTAACAACAATACTGACAGGTGACAAGACAACTTCACATCCTTAACAACAATAGTGACAGGTGACAAGACAACTTCACATCCTTAACAACAATAGTGACAGGTGACAAGACAACTTCACATCCTTAACAACAATACTGACAGGTGACAAGACAACTTCACATCCTTAACAAAAATACTGACAGGTGACAAGACAACTTCACATCCCTAACAACAATAGTGACAGGTTACAAGACAATGCCTGATGTGGTTTTCGCCCTTTCTATCACAATTTTCATGTTTTAATTTTCTTACTACCAATATAAAAGTGTGGTTCTGTCGCTTCATCATCATAATCCTCCTGTAACACGACATGTTGCTGGGTCACCAGTTTCTTTTGACTGATCATCTCTCTCCATATTTGGCGATCAGTTGCTATGGACTTCATGGTTGCATGCCTGGCGTCTGTATAGTCAGTTAGATTCTGTAACCAAGTCTTTCTTGGTCTACCTGTCCTCCTCTCTCCCTCTACTGAGCCCTGCAGTATTATTTTTGAGAGGCTGTTAGATCTTATTACATGTCTATACCATTGCATTTTTCGCCTGTAGCTAAAAGAGGTTCATAGTTACCAATGCTGCTTAGAGGCTAGCAAATGTGGTTAACCATTTTGTGATCCTTGAGTATTAGGGTTCAGTTCCTGCTGTGGATGGTTCAAAATATTGTCCTTGCGGTTTTCAGTCAGTAGAATGAGAATTACACCATGGAAGAGATTGGAATCTCACCACACAATACTGAGTTTGTGTTTTTTTCTTGGTATTCATAATACGCTTATTATTATATGATCAACTGCTGTGTGAAAGTTGGGTGTTTGGAAAAGCCGAATTTAAGACAAGCCTGCAAGCCTAATTCTCAACCTTTTGGAAATAAAGTTTGATCGTTCGTTCGTTCGTTTGTCTGAGTTATTCAAAATGCTGGATACACTTTCATTTACATATATTTAGTTGAATATATATTACGTATGAATAATATACACAAAAGAGACAGGGAAAGGTCTAAACTTTATAAATTTACAACACAGGTTATAGATGTTCAATACGGCCACCATCTGCTGCTCAGCAAACGTATATAAGCAGTAGCTGAACTTATCCCACACATGAAGAATAATTTCTGGTGTAACTGTGTTCACATGCAGCAGTGATATGCTTCCGCATGGCGGCCACAGTTTTGGGCAGTTGTGGTACATACATGATTTATAAAGTTTCAACCCCCCTTGCCCCTTTTGTTTGTATATTATTTTGTAATGTAAATTCAAGGAAATATACATGGATGAAAGTGAATCCATCATTTTGAATAGCCCTTTTTTTCCAAGACAACAGTGTACAAACACTAGCCATCCCTTACTGCACGGAAAGCACCTTATGTATTTTTTAAACATTATTACACTGTTTTGTCATTAGCACATTAATGCTATTATTATTATTATTATGCAGATCAAGCAGTCTGGCCATCTCGTTAGAACGTGCAACATCAAATTTCGTCACAGGTAATAAAACTCAGAAGATCAATTTAGAAGCGGGAGGACGGCCACAAAAATATGGATCGATAACATTAAAGACATTTTACACCTTCCAGTGTCAGGCAGTGTGCACTTGATTGCAAACTGTTCCTCCTGACGACACTCAACAGCAGAAGTGGTTTTTAATGATGACAAAATTATTTACGTCTTAGACCCCACAAGCTTTCCCTTCCCCCATTTTTTTCTCTCCAAATTGATAAGGGAGCTGAGCTCTCTATCTTCCCATGTCTCCGGTGTTTTCTTTTGTTGGTGCCCCTGGTCGAATACTTCTGAGGCCCCAAATTCCACCCCTGATAGTGAGGGAATATACACCTGCCTCCCTTCATCCTGTACCTGACATTTACCCAGCTACTTTGATGGTTGCTTGCTTTTATGATATGATCTTTCAACTGAATGCATCAAACACACTTGGAACCCAATATTTCTGAAGATATTTCACAATGTTTAAGTGTTGACCACACTCTTCCTGTGTGGGTTTTGGGACTCCATTTTAGGGAAATCAAAGAACACTGTTTGCCTAACAGGCATGTCAGAAACGGTCACCAACTAGGGGTGTGTTTCCTTCAAAATCGAAGTGCACCTGCCTAAAAGACAAGTAATCAACAATGTGCCTGCAAACAAGCAAGATATGTAAATGGATATTCCTGCAAAACTCAAAAGTCTGGAACAAGACACACAGTCCATTAATGAAAGTACAAGCAGTACTTTCCACCAGTGACAGTTGGTGATCCCCATGTGTGCAGGCGTGATAAATTTGGGCGAGGGGAGGAATGGGTCGAAGTGTCTGAGCAAGATTCAGACTTATGTAGGGTTCTAATCACTTTAGGCCATGAGTGCAGAGACTAGCCGGTTGGTGTTGCCTAATCAGACAGTCCTCGGTGAACCCACTCGAAGGCCTTGCTAATTAATTAAACTAGATGAAGATCGACTATGCTGTTTACAAAACATATTAAATATATGCTCTCTAATACTAATCTAATAATACACGAAAGCAGCATTATCAGAAAAAAGGTTGCTTGGGTACGTACACATACTGTACACATTCATTATGTAACTCACTGTGTATGAATCTTCGCCCTCTTTCACTTTACGAAAACTAGGAATACTGACACGAAGAACCATGTTTGTTTTACTACACTGAATCGCTCGTCTTGGTGTCTACAACATGACCACAGTCAAGAACTTAATATGTCATGAACCTCAAACAAGACATCTGCTTGTATAAGTTATAATAATCAACAACCCTACAATCACAGACTGAAAAAAAATCACAGGGTTCGGGAACTGTCTCTCTCTGCACAACAATGGTGTATACTAAAAATGTTGGATAGGATGCAAACTTTAAACTAGTTATTTTGGTAAGCTTTGTGGGCACGTTTTACTATCAAGTTTTCGTTTCACAATCCTGACCGTTTCTTTATTATTCATTATTTTGTGTGAGTGTGTGTGTGTGTGTGTGTGTGTGTGTGTGTGTGTGTGCATGTGTGCGCGTGTGTGACTGTGTGTGTGTGTGCGTTTGCGTGCGTGCATGAGTGTGTGTGTGTGTGTGTGTGTGTGTGTGTGTGTGTGTGTGTGTTGGTTCTACTGCTTTTAATTTCCCGTCTTCATTTAGTTGCTTAGTTTGTTTGTTGCTTTAAAATCATACTTACTTATGGCAGTATCTTCTTTTGCAGGTCTGTCTGGACATTATATCTCCATCGTTTTCTTGGTCTGCCTCGTGGTCTACGACCATTCATCTTCCTTGTGTATACAGTTTTTACTTCTCTGTCATCTGACATTCTCACAGTATGCCCCAACCATTTCAGTCTATTAGCTTCCTGATAGCCAGTTATCAATGGTGATTTAAACAGATTATGAATTTCGTTGTTGCTTTTTACTCTCCATTGCCCGTTGTTTGCATCTTTGATGGGTCCAAAGATTCGTCGTAAAACTCTGTTTTCGAAAACCTGTAATAAGTTTTAGTTGTGCTCCAAGTTTCAGAAACATAAAAAACTACTGGTCTTATCAACGCTTTATATATGTGATCTTAGTGGTGCCAGACAGACTCTTAGACTTTAGCAGATGTTGAAGGGCATAGTATACTTTATTTCCAGACTGTATTCTTATAGTATTTCTTCTCATGGCATGTTGGAGCAGTTGAATTTTACACCCATGTAGGTATATGTTTTTGTTCGCTTGATTTTCATATTATCGACTTTTATGTGGTCGGAGTTTATATCCTTTTCCTGTCTAGTTATTTTCATGTATTGTGTCTTATCTTGACTGATAACTTGTTCCATTTTCTGAGCTGATTCTTTTAAGAGAGTCAGTCAGCGTTTCAACAGTCTCTAGTTAATTTTCTCCAACGATATCAAAGTCATCAGCATATCTAAGTATTATTGGAGATTCTCCTAAAGTACTTTCCTGTTTAAAATTTCTTATAATTTTCTCCAGTATTTCAAAGTCCTTTATTGAATTCCATAAACTGTTTCAATCATAGGCTTTTTTAAAGTCCACAAAAACACTATATTTATCTCTTCTATATTCACAATTTTGCTCTGCTATTTGTCGTAAAAATTTTGTAATATTATTTGTTCTACCTTTCTTTGCTTCTCTGTCTCCCTTTCAATGTCTTTCGCTTCCGGCGCGTGCTTACACCCATAGTATGAATCCTGAGCATATACTTGCATTAATTTAAAAGAAAAAAGGAATATCAAACGGTAGGAAAAAAGTTAAAATGGTAAAAACCGTTCCAGCTTCGACTTTTGCATATCTATTCTTTAGGAAAAAAAATGTCACTGGAAAAATAAATCTGGGAAATCACTACATATGCATTTTAATTTGACATAACCACTGTACTTTTTATGGCTTTATTAATAAGAAAGAGATGTATTTGCCCAGATGACGTAAATAAATGCATACATAAATACATAACAAAATTTTAAAAGGAAATTTACTTTTTGAATGAAAAAAATGAGGGGGGGGGGGGGGGGGGATTTCATTCAAATAACGGTCCCGAATTATCGAGGCCGAAAGTATACCCTAACAGGGCCTCAGTCACGTGTCACTTGCGCACTTCCGAGGATTATACCGCCACCGCCGAGAGTATTTCAAACGCCGCTAGGCGCGGCATGGATTGGGGCTAAACTAGATGGCTGGGACTCACGAGCAAAATAAAAAAAAAAAAGGAAGCTGCAGGAGAAACGGTAGCTGCGGCTCGTGAGTCCCAGCCATCTAGTTTAGCTCCAATTCACGACGCGCGTAGCGGCGTGTGAGATACCCCTCGGCGGTGGCGGCAGTAGCCGGAAGTGCGCAATTTAAGTCACCGGAAGTGCGCAATCGAAACGTGACTGAGGCCCTGTTAGGGTATATTTTCGGCCTCGATAATTTTGGACCGTTATTCGGAAGATAGCCACAAAATAGCTTTCATTATGCCATCAGGTAATGTTACTTCTGCTGACCCATTTCTAGATTATTCATCAGTATTTCCAAACGATTGATCAACACTTGCCTTTTTAATAAAAAAGACGTAACCCAATGTTTGTATTGTTCTTTTGTTTAAAATATTACGCACGTGTCCAAACACATCATCATCAAATGAACTGTTTTGCTGATCGACTAACTGTAGCCATGTTTAGGTGCTATCTCTCGATAAAAACTTGCAATTTTGCTCAAGTGGACTTCATATTTGCAACATCAGTAGACTACGTCACTCATACCACAGCCTGTCTGAAATAAGTTCAGTCCTTCGCCAGCTGTAGTTCCGTAACTCCAGCGACGATCTCTAGTGATCTCTGTAAGAACGCCACTCGTGAACTGTCAAGCAAACATACAATCTTTAAGAAGCGAGGCAAACGGTTTAACCACTTCGCCATTAAGACCCTTAACATTTATTTGTGTTAGCACTTCGGATGGCTACCATATGCTTTAATGCGAGTGTATGCTAGATATGCTGAGACAGCAGTCTGTCAATCCTTCAACAAGGGACTGTGATAAACATTCTGTGTGTTTTTCGTTGGCACAGGAGCGGAGCAAAGATGGGGTGACCCGTTTGCTATGAAGCTGAAACTAGGACTACCAGACCAGACTACCAGATTTGTAGACTGCTGGATCTTTGCCGAAACCTGGGATTGAACCAGGGACATTTAGATTTTTAATCTGATAAGCAGAGATAAACATAGAGAGTGCTTATAGCTCACAAACAGATGGTTGGGGGCTGCATGGTCTCGCGGCATGAGTCCGCCTCGAGTGCTGGAGGTCCCGGTTTCAGGCTTTGGTAAAGGATGGGATTTTTACACGGGACTTCTAATAATTTCTCCTTGTTTCTGGGTAGTGTGTATTGTTGCGCATGTAAAAAAATACCGTTGCAGTTGGGAATCGAAAAGAGCAGCCCAAAGGCCCTGCCCTGGCAAAATTTAGAGTTAAAATTCTAAAGTATTTCAGGATCCTCGCCGGTTCTACGGAGTTCGTGCACTACGCTGAGATTCTACGGACTCAGACTTGAGTTAAAAGTAGAGCGGTTGTTGAACCTAAACCTCACCAAATATTAATAATATAGACAATATAACTTATCATTATTGTAAATGAACGAGACTAGTGAAGAGTCATCCTCGTTACGGTTTTGCTTTCCGGCAAGGCTTCTAAAGAAATCCACAGTAATTCTTGCCCCGCTTTCATCACATCTTTACATGGTAGCCGAGGTGGCCTTGTCATACATGATTCTATTTGTATGGCACGACATACTGATGACAAATAAGTGCCGCAAAAGGGTTGAAGAACACTGGTCTAGGTCATGCTGCACCCACACTGTACACAGATAGGCATTAGGCCTACGTTGGTCGCTATTCTAGGTCATGCTGCACCCACACTGTACACAGTTAGGCATTAGGCCTACGTTGGTCGGTATTCTAGGTCATGCTGCACCACACTGTACACAGATAGGCATTAGGCCTACGTTGGTCGGTATTCTAGGTCATGCTGCACCCACACTGTACACAGATAGGCATTAGGTCTACGTTGGTCGCTATTCTAGGTCATGCTTCACCACACTGTACACAGTTAGGCATTAGGCCTACGTTGGTCGCTATTCTAGGTCATGCTGCACCACACTGTACACAGATAGGCATTAGGCCTACGTTGGTCGGTATTCTAGGTCATGCTTCACCCACATTGTACACAGATAGGCATTAGGTCTACGTTGGTCGGTATTCTAGGTCATGCTTCACCCACATTGTACACAGATAGGCATTAGGTCTACGTTGGTCGGTATTCTAGGTCATGCTTCACCCACATTGTACACAGTTAGGCATTAGGCCTACGTTGGTCGGTATTCTAGGTCATGCTTCACCCACATTGTACACAGATAGGCATTAGGTCTACGTTGGTCGGTATTCTAGGTCATGCTTCACCCACATTGTACACAGTTAGGCATTAGGCCTACGTTGGTCGGTATTCTAGGTCATGCTTCACCCACATTGTACACAGTTAGGCATTAGGTCTACGTTGGTCGGTATTCTAGGTCATGCTGCACCCATACTGTACACAGATAAGCATTAGGCCTACGTTGGTCGGTATTCTAGGTCATGCTTCACCCACACTGTACACAGTTAGGCATTAGGCCTACGTTGGTCGGTATTCTAGGTCATGCTTCACCCACATTGTACACAGCTAGGCTAGCATTAGGTCTACGTTAATCAGCGTATGAGGCTTATGCGTTCCGAACCTGCTTTGTAATGTCGAGGTACTTGTTCGATTCCAGCTGCGAACAATTTAAGAACAGTCCGCTTTGCATTGATTTCGACTCCAGCAGAGTGCCAGCAGGTGCAATGTTCAGTATCATGCTTTCATGTACCTTAAATCTCCGTAGGGATATGGAGATGGAGAATATTTGAAATCACTGGTCGAGCGATGAGTAATTTTGTTAGCATCAATCAGGCTATAGTTAACTATTAATAGTTGGAGGAGAAGAAGTAGAGAATAAAAGGTAGTAGCAGTCGTTGTAGTAGTAGTAGCAGCAGCAGCAGCAGCAGCAGCAGCAGCAGTAGTAGAGTAATTATAGTAGTAGTAGTAGTACTAGTAGCACCAGCCACAGCAACAGCAGCAGTAGTAGTAGAGTAGTTATAGTAGAAGTAGTAGCAGAAGCA